TACCACAGCAGGGGGCACAGCGTCCCTGGCTGTACTCCAGCAGCTCAGAGGGGCGGCGTGGCCGTGGGGTGCCACTGTCCTCGTGCTCCTGTTTCAGCCGCAGCCGGGCTGCCTCATCCTTGGCGAAAGTGCCCAGGTCCTGTGTGTAGCGGCCATACATCTGGGGGAGAAAGGAGTGGGAAGGGGAATCAGGGGGGTGGCACAGGCCTCTGGGCTGCAGGTGGGGAAACTGAGGCAGAGAAGCAGTGGACACGGTGCCAGCGCCGGGGTGGGGATCAATAGCAATTGTTTCGCCCACGCACCCAGCACAGTGCCTGGCCCCACTGGTACCAGTCCCCGGCCCTGCCCAGGTGCTCCAGCCATGGGTTGGGCTGCGGTGGGTGGGTGAGGGCATCCGGTGTCAGGAACACAGCCAGGGAGCTTCTCTGAGGCCCAATATTGGGGATTGTGCCTCCTTTTGGTGCTGTTACATGGGCTGGGATCCCCCCAGAGTGGGCACATATGTTCCAAGCCGAGCCCATGAGAGCAGCATAGGGCAGGGTGCACTCTCAGCCTCACAAAAAAGGGGGTATGGAGATTTAGGGTGCGAGGCACATAGGGACACTGTGCCCACTCGGGTGGCATACGGCACGTGTCCTGGCCCCTGGCACTGCCCCCTGTGCTCATTGTGTCCATCCTCCCTGCTGAGCTGGGGGCACTGGTCCCGCACTGCGGGCACTGCCAAGGGCTTGGTTGCTTGGTTTCCGCCTCGCTCCCCCCGCCATGACCTGAATGCCAAGCGCCAGAGGTTGGCTGGGCACAAAGGGAGGCTTCAGGGCCATAGGGGCCCTTGCCAAGCTCCCACGTTGGGGCGACGTGAGCCCCATGCTGATGCATGCCCGCCCGCTGAGCCGCACGTGGCCGCCCCACAGCCCCTATCCCGGCACAGTGCCCGGCGGAGGGGCCATGGCACGGGTGGGCACTGTGCTTGGCACGTGCCGACTCAAGCGGGGATGGCATAAAGGTGAATTTCTCGTGGGGCATTGCCCAGATCCCTCTGGCCAGGAGCAGAATGCAGCCAGTGTGGCGCCGGGTGGATTCTCTGCTGTCTGATACCTGAGTTAGGTTTGGCCCTGGGAGGGGCGGGCACAGCCATGTCCATCAGCAACCCCAAAACTTGTGCACAGCCCTATGGAAATGTGCTGTGGGCTACAGCTCAGCCTCCTCGGGGGCTGCATTCAGCATCGCGTGCCAGAGGAGGACCCCAGCCCTGCACGGCATTTGGCGTTCAAAGGCTCCCTTCGGGCAAAGCTTGTTTCCTCTGGAAGAACAAACGGCTCCGCACCCCAGGAGTTCTGCTGCTCTGCCAAGTCCTTGCCTTCCCCCAGCCCTATAGCTCCCCTTGTTCAGGATGGGGGCACCCCAGGCTGAGAGTCCCCTGTACCCCCTGCCTTGGGGGCTGGCATGCTGCCCATGGGTCCCCAGCAGGATGCCCCTATAGCTGGAAGGGGTCCAACCTGGTGGGGGGGGTTATAACCCCATTAGCCCCCAAACGCACCAACCCTGCTTAAATGAGGAAAGGGGCTGTGCCACACCATGCTGCAAACCAACAGACCGGGAATGAGGCGCCCCATAGCAGAGCCCAGCTGTCAGTGAGGGCCAGCAGTCCATTCTGCCTTCCTCCTCCTCCTCCTCCTCCTCCTCCCTCTCGGGTTATTTTTCCACAAAGGCCTTTTGAAACACAAACAGCCCCGGGACTCCGGCCTCCGCCGCGAAGCAGCTGAACAATCACAGTGCCGGGCAGGCAGGGAGCGGGCACGGGGCGGGGGGGCTGGTGGGGGGCAAGCAGGGACATGGGCACGGGGCAAGGTCTGTATTTTGGGACTGGTCTCCCGTGCCGTGTCCCTGGGCTGTGCCAGGCAGTGGTGCCTGCTGTGCCTGGCTGATGTGGTGTGTGGGGTGGCTGCTGGCATCGGCACTGCAGTGTCCCCAAGCCACCCTATCCCACAGTAGATGGGGCACTGAGCACCGTGGCAGCAGTGCTCGCAGCTTTGGCTCACGGTGCCAGTTGACATCTGCCCAGAATGTGCTCATGGGGAGTTTTAAAGGTGGGGAACATGGGGAGCAGGGACCCCAGCTCTTGGGCAGATGGAGAGGCCGGGGGGGTCTGTGTCACGCTGCCCGTCTTAGCTGGGATCTAATCGGCTCCACGGTGAACAAGGGCAGTTTGTCAAGCTTAATCTTCCTCACTGGAGGCCCTTTGGTCCCCAGGCACATGGGTGGCACAGGGGGTAGCAGGGACCCCAGGCACCCTTAGCACCAGGTGGTTCCCACGGGCACCTGCCCCATGCAGACCGTGGCTGGAGTCCGAGCCTGGCAGGAGCTGGTGGCACTGGGGAGGGCACCCGCCCTCCTGCTTGGCACGGGGGTGGCTTTTGGAAGCCAAGCACGAGGCTGCGGGATGGGTGCCCATACCCAGCCTCGCCCACGTGGGCGGCTTCAGGAGCCCCGAGGCCACGGGGATGGGCACCCCGAGGTGTGGGTACCTCCCTGCCCGCAGGTGGGGAGGGCAAAGTCTGCTGGCACCACAGGGCTGCCCCAATGCCAACCTTGTGCCTCTGCCCTCCTGCAGTAAGTGCTTGGGAAGAAGATGCAGAGGGCACCTGGCACACAGGGCCATGGTGCCATGTGCTGGCTGGGCATGCCCTGCTCAAGGCTACGCAAACCCTACAGCCGCGGGTGCCCAGCAGTGCTCAGCCCCTTCCCTGCCCTGCCTGAAGGCCTTTGCCAGGGCAAAGTACCCGTTTACTGAGCTGCACCGGGCACCGGCCCAAACAGAGACCATGGAGAAGTACCTTTGCCCACAGTGTCAGAGGGCTGTGGGCAACGGAGGGGCTGTGGGCACAGCAGGGAGGGAGGACACCCCGAGATGCCAGCAGGGAGGCCCTGAAGGTGACAGTTGTAAACATGGGGCTAAGGTTGCAGGCGGGGGAGATATGCTATCTTGGGGACAGAAAGCTGGGGCCGGGCATAGCATGGAGGGTAAAGGGTGCCTGGGTGGTGTGGGATACTTGTGGGGGTCATGCCGCTCTGAGCTGAGGGCATGCTGCTGGGGAGAGGTGTGCCCGAGGGTCCCACCTCGGGGCTGGGGGCTCTGATGGATTTCCCTGTTGCTGTGGGGCTGTGGGGCTCCCCCAGAGGTCCCCACATGGAGACAGCCCCCAAGGCTCGGAGGACACGGTGGGATGGAGCAGGCGTCACGGGCGCTGCCCCTTCACAGAGCTCCTGGAGGGGGAGTATCATCCCAAAACCGCCCCTCTCCCCGAGACGTGCTGCAGTCCCCGGTGCCCCCCGCTGTGCCCCGTGCTCCCGGTGCCCAGTCCCGACGGCACTCACCAGGGTCTGCTCGTATTGTAGCGCCCGCTGCTCCGCGCTCTCGGCGGAGGCCATGGCGCTCCCGGTGCTCCCGGTACTCCTGGCCGTGCCGGTGCCGGTGCCCGCGGCGGCAGCAGCTCCGCCCGGGGCCGTGCGGGGCGGACCCGGGGCACTGCCCGGGGGAGGGTCTGGCCGCGCTCCGCCTCCGCCGCTCCGACGGCGGCACCCGGCACCGGCACCGGCACCGGGCAGCCGGGCACGGACCGAAGGGACGGGGGGCGGGGATGGCTCACAGCCCTCTGGCCGCGGTGGCCCTGGGGAAACGTGTTTCCGTCCACGGGCACCTGGTGGGGTCTGGCAGCAGCCTTGTTTTAGGGTTTGGGGTTTGAGCAGAGAGCACCGTGCCCACGCCCAGCCGTAGGGTCAGGGTTGGGGAGAGGAGCGCCCAATGTCTTGGCACCGCCATCAAGAAAACGGAAACCGGGGGTGCACACAGGTTGTGGACACCCCAGCACCGTGAGGACCCATCGGAGGTGCCTGAAGAATGCCCTTACCGTGGCACTGTCAGCATCAGAATGGGTGCCCAGACCACACTCTTCACTGCCGGGTAGCAGACGCTCAGTCCTCTCGGCCGGGACGCAGGAGCACAGCTTGGCACCGGTACTCCTGGGGCGAAGCACTCCAGCATGGCACAGCGGCTGCTCTCCCTCCGGGGCTGCTGGCATCTCCATCTCACCACCTCAAAGGGCTCAGGAGCAACTGGGGCAGTTGGAAGGACTGAGCTTGCCCTCTCCCTGCTGGCACAGCATGGCACGCTCGGTGAAGATTGAACTGTGGCACTGCTGGGCTGATGGTGTGGGACCAGGAACCAGCTGGTTTGCGCTGCCCAGGTGCCACCCTCCGCTTTGACGTTGGCACCCCCAAGGGTGGGTGACAATGGCCAGGGACAAGGCTGGGGTTTGCCCTGCACCAGCCTGGGAGGGTTCATCGCCGGCTGTGAACCAGTTTGCGGCGGGCAGGCGATACATGAACTCCCCACTTATTGTTTCCCTGGGCACTGAGTCCCCTCCTCATGCGTCAGCTCCTGGCACTGCCCCACGCATCCGGAAGGAGCCCTGTGCCAGGACACAAGTGCTGCTGCCAGTGGGCCACTGGCCGCAAGGTCACCACCAGCGCTGCCACCCTGCTGGCCATGGCACGAAATGGGCACATGCACAGGGGCTGGGACTTCAGCAACTGTCAACTTCATGCCCACCCTAAATGTCACCATGCCATCCTCCTAATGCTCTGGTGCCAGTCCCTGGTGTCAAGACAAGAACCAGTACAACCCAGTGTCCCAGTATATACTAATGCTGCCTAGCATCATTGTGCCAATACATCCAGTGCCATCCCAGCAGAGCCCAGCGTTACTTTCCCTGGCTTAGGTCCCAACCCTGGCACCTCTGCCATAATGGGGGTGCTGGGCTCAGAGCACTGTACCCACTCTGGCATCACATCTTCAACCATGGGCACTGATTAGGGCCACCCCAGCCCTGCTCTGGTGCCATCCTACAGCCCTCCATTCCGTGTAGAATCCCCATGCCTCCAAGACCCCATGTCCCCAGCCACATGACCTGCATGTCTCCAAACCCAGCAGCACCAGCACCCATGAATGTGTGATACAGAGGAGAGCAGTGGGCAATATCTTTGTCTTTAATAAATACATTTGGGACCCCCGTCCCTATAAATTACACACCAAGTCCAAACGAGCTGGGGTGGGCACAGTGAGACGGGGGTGAGAGGGATTTTACAATATGTACAAAGCGGGCACGATGCCTGCTGCACCCACCAGCCAGGAGCTCGTGAGTGGGAGTGCAGAGTGCCCTGGTTCCCCCAGCCCTGCTGCTGGCTACTAGGGTGGCTCAGCACTGCAGCTGTGCCCAGAGGGGGTGCCTTCCCCATCCCTGCTCCTCTGTGCCCCGTGCCCAGCCCTAGGGGGAGGGCGATGGGGCTCTGTAGGGCCATCCGGCATCACTGCGCTCTCAAGTTGCGCTCACTGCTCAGTGGCTCCATGACTCTGCTGTGGCTTCGTGCATCTTTTCTGGGGGTGTATCCAGGGCTGCGGGAGGGAAATGGGGTGAAATGAAGGCATGGAGGGTGTGCAGGTGTGTCCCTGTCCCCGAAGGGATGCAGAAATGCAGTGTGCTGATGGGTGCCCGAGTTCAGCAGCACCCACTCACCGCGACACTTGGCACAGCAGGGGTTGTCCCTCCTGCTGGGGCTGGCACAGGCATCTGGCGGACACTCCTGGCGCTGGCAGTGTGTCTCTCCTGACTGTAGGGCACAAGCAGGGCTGGGACACAGGGGCACCTGCACTGCCAGCCCAGCTCTTTGCCCACCTGTCCCCAAAGCACTTGAGGTGGCAAAGGGCATCTCCGCATTCCCAGCACACTCACCACACACCAGCACAGGATGCACTTCATCTCCCCAAAGGGTGGCACTGAGGGGTGCCAGCTCTCATTGTTGAGGTACCAGCGGCGCCCAAAGCGGCATGCACGAGGTCCGTCTGCCTGCATGCCATCGGTCAGCTCAGGGACGCTTTTCTCAGGGGCTGTGGAGAGGGCACAGGGAGACTGCATGCCCAAAGGGTGTGGGAGGAACAGTAGACAAGGGGGGAGCAGGGTGTATGTACCTGGGCACTGCTTGCAGCAGTCAGAGGGGCTGACGCGCACAGGGTTGGCACAGGTGAGGCGTGGGCACTGCACCTTCTCGCAGTGCACTTCCCCTGTGGTGCCCTGTGGGGAGCATGTACAGGGCTCGGGGGGGGCACTGGAGCTCCCCTGCTTTGAGACCCCCAAAACTCACCTTGCAGGTGCAGATGGCACATTTGATGAGGCCAAAGGGTGGCACGACGGGGTGCCAGCGGGTGCCAGAGCCTCGCCATGTCTTGTCCCCATCAAAGTAGCAGCCTGAAAGTGGAGGAGGTGGGCACAGCATCCATGTGACAGCTGTGGTGCCCTCAGCCTGTGCCCAGGGGACTCACCCTCACTGCTGTCCCGTGCCCGTTCCAGCTTCAGCTCCTCCTGCTCCATCTTCTTCTCTACAGGGATCAGGGAGGGCATGCTCAGGGTACCAGAGTGGGACCCCCACCTTGTACCCATAGAGATGCTGCCCACACCCCTCTTTCTGCCCCACACTCCCCCAGGAGCTCCTTGTGCCCCCACACCTTCACAGACGGGGCAGCACAGCTCCTCAGGGTGCACCTGGCGGGTACAGTTGAGGGGCTGGCACAGGATGGGATCGCAGATCACTGTGCGCTTCTGGGAACAGCAGGCACATTGCTCATTGAAGGATCCATCATCAGTGGATCCACCCCCAGATCACCCCTATAACCCCATACCTGGCAGCTGCAGATGGAGCACTTCTTGTCGTAGTCAGGTGCCCAGCGGGTGCCGTGTGCATGGTGCTGCCCCTCGAAGAAGCAGGAGTTGGGGTCCTTTTTCAGCTGTTCTACATCCCTGCTTTTGGGGCCCTCTGAGAGCTCAGCCCCCCCGGTGGACAGGCGGGCCCCTCCTGCCAGGCAGCGGTTGGGGATGTGCACCTGGAAGGCAGCAGTGGGTTGGCACCATGGGCACCCCACTGGGCATCCCGCTTGGGTGTGCTCATGGCTGGTGGCACCATGGCACCATGGTGGGTGGAGCACATAGCCATGGGCACATGTGTCCCCATACTGTGCCCTTCCCAGTGCCAAGCCCTGGGGATGTGTCAGGACCACATACCCATCCCCGCATCTCCCCACGTGGGTGTGCTTTGGTGCTGACTTGCAGGAACGCAGTGCCCTGTGCTAGGTGCTGCAGCAGCTCAGCGTCCAGGTCCTTCACCACCCCCTGAGCCTGCAGGGTGAGGGGGACAAGGGGATGTGGGGACTGTCCCGAGACCTGTGGCGACACTGTGGTGTAGCTGCTGTGCGCTCTCCTCACCTCAGTGCCATAGAACCCCTTGAGCATCCGCTTGTGCAGGTGAGGCCGAGAGCCCATCTCGCCCAGCTCAGCCACACCGTGCAGCTGGGCGCTGACTGTGCCATCAGCTGGGCGGCCCAGCCCTGCCACCACAATCTCGTAGTGCAGGTGGCAGTGCTCATCCAGCGACAGCCATGCGTGGCCCCCAGCCCCGCTGCTCACTGAGGGTGACACCAGCTGCCCCGCCAATGGCACCGGCATCTCTGCACACAGAGAGGGGCGGTGGGAGGTGATGGGTGAAGGACTGTACCACTGCTCCCTGCCACCTCCCCCCTTCCCCCCATGTACCTGTGTAGCGGGCCAAGAGCCCACTATAGGGCAGGGAGATGACCTGGCCCCTCAGCTCGCCCTCTACCCAGTCCTTGGTGGCCACATTGAGGAAAAGCTCATTCTGCAGCAGCATGTGTGCATCGCGGGCGCTGGGGCTGTGCCACACTCCCTGAGCCTGGCATGGAGGGGGGGAGAACACACATATGGGATTGTGCCCACTTGTGCCTGTGCCAACCTTGTGCCGTGTCACCAGCACTCACCAGCCCGTCCCTATAGCTGGGTGTCATGTCAAAGAGGACGTTCCTCTTGTTCTTCCGCCGCGGTTTGGTCTCCAGTGTGACCCCCACCACCTCGCTGGCTGTGCCCACCACCCGCACCTGCAGGCAGGGCATGGACAGGCAGCAATAGAGTGACCAGCAGGGTGCAGTTCTGTGCCCGGTGCCATGCCTGTCCCCATTACCTGGTACTCCAGCGTGCCGTTCTCATGCAGCGCCAGCTTGGCTGAGCCCACCGCCCCTGTCTTGGTGGGCTGCAATGCATCTGCACCGCACAGCACACTTTGGATGGCTGCACTCAGGCACAGAGAGCAGAGAAAAGGGTGAGGACAGGGTGGGGGCAATGCCACTCCCACACCCTGCTGTGCCCTGCTCACTGTCACAGCTGCGGCGGGCAGTAATGGTGCCCTCCAGCTGGCGCGGGTGCTGGCCCTCGGTGTCAGCCACGATGTGGAGCTGCCCCTGTGCCAACCACTGCAGCTCATGGGTGGACAGGTCACTCAGCACCTCTGCGAAGTCGGGTTCCTGGGGGTACAGGCACTGGTGAGGGAGATGCTGGAATACTCAGGGCAATGGGGATGGGGATGGCTGTACCTCCATAGTGATGTTGGCATGGACCTCACGCAGCGTCTGGCCCTGGTGCAGGATGCGGACCCGCAGCGGTACCCAGGGGGACTCTGAGCATGGCAGAGGAGTTGAGGCTGCAAGGGGTGGCTGGGCATGGGGCTGTGCCCACTGCTCCCCAAACCCACCTCTCTGCAGTCCCAAATCCTTGCACAACCCCCCACCACAACCTCCCACCCACCCCCATGCAGTCCCAGCCCACTGTACCCCCACACACACTGCGCCCCAAATACACAACCCAAACCCCCCTGCACACACCCATCCTGACCCCATGCATCCTAAGCCAATTGCACACCACGCATCCCCTGAGCCTCCCCCGGTGATGCCATGCCCTGCAGCAGCCCATGCCTGCCCTCACCCCCAGCACTCGGCTCCAGCAGCCCACGGGCCATGAGGATGAAGTGTAGGTTGTTCTCAGTATCACTCAGTGTCAGCATGGCCATGCCCCCGGCCCCAAGATGTGCAGGGTCTGATGAGGTCAGGATAGCACCAAATGTCTCTGTGCAGGGAGAGGGACATGAGGGGCACCCCAAAGGGAATCCCCCTCAGGCTGGGGAGTACTTGGGGGGGATCTTACCTGCAAAGAGCGCGCGGTGCTTGAGGATGTGCCCATGCACCTCTCCAGAGGGCTGTGCACGGGTGATGAGGGACACGCGGAGCTGCTCCGCACGCAGCAGCTGTATGTTGGCTTTGGACACCGTCCTCCACATCCCACAGAGCTGTAGGTACAGCAGGGCTGGGCATGGGGTGCCGACACTGGTGTGCCGTGCCCCTCACCCTGCCCTCCCCAATCCTCTCACCATGCCTTCCTCAGGGGCTGCACTCTTCTGTACTGGATGCTCAAACAGCACGGTGCCCTCGGGGTCGCTGAAACGCACCCGGCTCGGCCGTCCCAGCCTGCGGGCACCGGAGGGTTGAACAGGGATCCCCTCCCCTGGCACCGGCCCCATGCAGTGCCCGGGGAATGAGGGACACGGAGCAGGGTGCCAGCTGGCATTTGTGCCCAGGGGTCCCCAGGTTGGCACCGTGTGTGGGGGGGTGCACATTTGGGAAGGACAGCAGGGAGCTGAGCGCTCAGCCTGGCTGTAAATTAGGAGCATTTTCAGCTCTGTTTGGCTCCCCCTGGTTGGAGCTGGAAATTAGTCACCACTTTACTATGCAAAGGGGCCTGGAAGTGAGGAAGAGCAGAAGCAACCCGTGCGGGAAGGAGAGAGGGAGAGAGAGACGGACAGTGGGCACCCGGGGAGGGCATGGATGTAGAGTCCCATGGTGGTGCCCATGAGCTGGGCCATTGGGTGGCACAGAGCCTGTATCCCACCGCACCCACAGCCCCCCTCCTAAAATCACACCCCACCCACACAATGCTGTGATAGCACCGAAGGCATGTAGAGGGGAAACTGAGGCACGAGCAGCATCACATCACCAGGTTTTAGGGTTTCAGGCTGTGCTCACCGCTCGTAGCTGATGGAGAAGAGCAGGTAGGAGCGCAGCAAGGTGAAGCGAGCCTTGGCCACCGCACTGGATGTGGGGTGCCACGGCTCAGGGCCGCTCGTCAGCAGGGCCACGAATTCTATGGGGGGTGACAGTGATTACTATAGGAGCATGGGGATGCCCTGTGCTGCTCTCCCTGCCTGAGCTCACCTGTGCGGGCATCGTCGCGTGCCAAACCCTCGGAGCTGAGGTAGGAGCGGTCGTTGTACGGCTTGTCCAGCTCATCCTCCTTGTCCTGGAAGTACTCAAAGGTGTCGAAAGGTGGCTCGGAGCTCTTCTCCAGGGGTCCTGGCAAGGCTGGCATGGGGAGCACAGCGGGGAGATGGTTGTGCCACAGGTAACCCTGACACTAAGGCACCCCTCCACGGGTGTGCCCAGTGTCCCCAGGCTGATCCCAGCAGTGGGTGATAGCACCATGCTCACATTTGGGACAGGTGTGGCAGCAGTGCCCGGGCAACAGTGTAGCACGAGGGCAGGTGGGAACAGGGCAGTCCTGCTTCATGTTCTTGCAGTTCACTTTCCCCACTGGTTTCCCTCGTCGATTCCTCTGCTGAGGTGGTGAGTGCCAAACTGTGCCACAGATATGGCTATTCCCAAACCCAGCCCCAGCAGATGGCACAGCGGTGGGTACCAGTGCTCCCCTGGCACAGCCCTGATCCCCTCAGCCCATCTGCACAACCCTTGGGCCCCACACACCTTGCACAGCCCCCAGCTGTTTGTATGGCAGCCAAATCCCGGCCCCCACTCCCCTGCCCAGCTGTGCGTGGCCCCTCCAGCCCCGGCCTGGCCTCCGGGGGCTGCTGGAGGGAGAGGGCTGTCCCGAGGAGGGGAGGAAGGAGAATGAAGCACGAGCCTTTAACCCTCCGCTGCTGGAGGGCACTCAGGTGTAGGGCCGGCTGGAGGAATCTCCGCTGCCCTTTCCCTCGGGGTGGGGGTACTGAATGAAGGGGTGATCCCCGTCCCCAGCAGGGCCTCATGTGGGGGGGGTCCCCTCTCCTGGCGGAGGGGAGGGAGGAGGGCACTCACCGTCTCGCAATGGCAGATCACGCAGCGCATCACCCCGAAGGGCTCCCCCAGGTCGGGGTGCCACGTCTCCTCCAGCGCATAGAAATGCCCCCCGAAGGCACAACCTGCAGATGAACCCCCACCCCATCATCGGAACACCCCCCAAGAAAAAAGTCACCTCCGGGCCGCGGGCACCCCCCTGCCGCAGCCCCGATGGAGCGGACAGCGTCCGGCACCGCCCCGTCGGGTACGGACCCGGTTATTGGGACCGAACGGCGGCACGGGCAGGCGAGGGGGGGGCACGGAGTTGGGGGCATGAAAGGGGTGCACGGCAGGGATGCAGGAAAAGAGGGTGCACGGGTTGGAAGAAAAAGGGTTGCATGCAGCGGGGGTGCACGGAAAGGGGGATCGAAGGGAAAGGGGTGCAGAGAGGGGGTCCTACCTGCCGCCCCCCCGGGGGGCAGCGGCTCGCTGTCGGGCCGGATGGGCAGGGCGAGCTTGGGGCGGGCGGTGCGGGCGGGCAGGGCGAGCAGGGCGAGCAGCAGCAGGGCGGTGCGCATGGTGCCGGGGAACCGGGGGAACCGGGCGGCCGGGGGCGGGGAGGGGGGGCCGGGCGCTGCCTGCCGCCTCCGCTGCCACCGCCTCTGCCCGGCCGCCGGCCCCGGCCCCGCTTTATAGGCGGCGGCATGGGCAAGCGGGAGCTGCGAGTCCTGTGCAAACAAAGGGCCGCTAATGAGGCGCAGGCAGCGGTCGGCCGGGGGGACGCGCCCCCGCCGCGATCCGAGTTCCCCCCCCCTCCAACGGGTCCCGGCCCACCGGGCATAGGGACCCCCCCAGCCACTGAGCCCCTGCTCTGGGAGAATAGGGTACCTCCGCCCATGGGTATGCTAGGGAGACCCCCATCTGTGAAGCACCATGGGGACCCCTTGGCATGGAGCATCCCTGGGACCCCTCCTGAACCCATCCTTGGTCCCCTCCCAGACATGGGGTACCTCGGGTATGAAGCTCCCACTCACATGGCAACCCTGGACGCTTTCACCCACATGGCCCTGGTCAAGGTGTGGGGCACCCTCATGAGCTTGGCATGCAGGGGACACCCTCACATCCACACAACACTCACTGGGGCAATGAAGAACCCACAACCACACCCCCCTCTGTGGGGCTTAGGGTATTCCAGGGCACTGGACACCATGAGTACACCCCAATCCACATCCCTCCCCACACTCCCCCAGGACATAAGGCTCGTGCAAGTCCTCATTTCCCCCACACCATAGGGTCACACTTGGGACAAAGGGCACATCTCCCCTCAGCGTCCCCCCAAATCTGTGCTGCGCCCTGTGATATCAGACTCACGCACCCCACAACATGTGCCTTTGGCATCCCCAAATCCCAGTGCAGAGTGCAATCCCAGAGCAGGACCACAGGACCATTCCCACAAGCATGGGAACAAGATCTGGGGTCCCAGGGAGGTGCCGTGGCTGAGGGTACGGGAGCAGCACCCAGCACGGATCCTGGTCTTCACCCACATGTGCCCAGAATGTTGAGGGCAGCAGTGGTGGTGGGCAGGGAGCAGACACCATGGGAAGGCCTGGGGAGAGCACGGTCCAGCTGTGGAAACTGAGGCACGGGGCACAAGAAGGGGGGAGCGGTGTGTACCACCCGTGTCTCCCCCACCAGCAGGGAGGGAAGGAGGTGCCGGGTCCCCCCCACCAGTGGGAAGGCAGGCGGGTGTGCAGGGGAGGAGGGGGAAGCGCTGGGCTGCCAAAATCAACTCCGGGCGGTGCAAACAGCCGGCCAGCTGCACGGTGTAACTAGGGAAACACGGCGCAGCTGGAGCACAACAGGCCCTTACCTCCCCAGAAGGCTCCTCCTGGGCCTCTCCACGGCACAGCGAGTGGCTGGGGGGGCTGCAACCCCAGACGCCGTGTCCCTGCTGCCAGGGTGCCCCATCCCTGTGCCCTCCCCCACCCCACTTGGCATGAGCAAGCCCCGGCAAGGGGTAGCCAGGTTTCCCCATAGGGACAACCCCTTGGCACCTCCAGGGCTGGGACACCACGGACATTCCATGCGCGACACCCAACTGCTCGCAATGGGCTGTGCCCACCAGTGTGGCACCCCATTCCCATGCCCACCCCGTCAGTGCCACCGACCTGTCCCTGCTCCTCTCTCCCGTTGTCCCTGTTGGCCTGGGATCCGGTGACAGAGGAGGGCTGGGGGCTGCGGAGCCGTGCCAGCGTCACCGCCTGGTGCCCACCACCGTGGTGCTGCCTGGGGGGAACGGCAGGGAGCGAGCAGGGCTGAGCGGGGAGGAGGAGGCGGGCGATGGCTGCCGGCCGCCCCGCCGGTGCCAGGAATCTGCCGCTGGCTCCGCGCACCCGGAGCTCGTCACAGTCTCCTGGCTCAGCTGCGGGGATGTGGGGAAGCAACAGGGGAAGCTCCCTCCCCTTTCCCGGGAAGGAAGGAAAGCTGGGAGAGCCATGGCCTTGGCATAGGGGACACTGAGGCATGGGGAGGGCATGGGGGTACTGAGGTGTCACTGCTACAACAGGAGCACATGGGTTGGGAGGAAATGGGCATGGGATGAGATAGGATGCACATGGGCATCCCTACCCCACAGCCCCACACGGCCCTGAAAGTCTTGGAAGTGCCCCCCAGGGGTCTCTGTGCTTTTGGGGTGGGAAGGGGTCCTGGTGCCGCCAGCTGGTTCCCGGCGCCCGCACATGCACTGGGAGCTCCCGGCACAAAGGCGGCTCTGAGGCTCCCTGCAGCCAGGCCTGGCGCCGGCACAGCCCCAGCGGGACAGGGCTGCCGGCTGTGGGCAGCTGGAGCTGCATGGGGACAGAGCCAGGCAGCCACGGCCGCTCTGTACCACCCCATAAGCTGAAGCAGGTGCCCGGCCCCACGGCATGGGGGTGCCGGGAGCACAACAGGGTGGGCACACTGATGATGCTGCTCCACTGTGGACTCTGCGTGGGCTCTGTGGGCTCTGTGGCCATGTGGCCACAAGGGGTCACTCGGAGGGGCCACCATACCATCCCTCTCTGCCCAGTGGTGCCGTGCCTGGCTTCGGGGTGCCTGTGCCAGCATTGCTGCCCCACGCAGCTCCCTATTGTCTATCCCTATTAGCTGCTGTTTGCTTCAGGCTTTGAACATGAGCCGGGCTCGGGGCGGCAGGAAGGAGCCTCTTCTCCCCAGGGATGGGGTCGAAGCGAAACCGCACGCCCTAACCCCTTCCCACTGCCTCCATCCTCCTTCAGGCACGTTGGCACCCCGTGCCATGAGTAATGGGGGCTGGACCCAACCAGAGCTGGGGAGCCACAGGGACACCCCCCTCTCCAAAAAGAGCCCCCCTCACCTCACTCACTACAGCCTCCCCAAAGCTCTGTGCAGAACGAAGCCATGCCCCGTGACTAATCCCCCCCCCGGCCTCGCACATACACGGCGGGGAGGGGGGTGCTGTCGTAATGGGTGGAAATATCTCATAATTCACGTTGGACATGGGGATTGCAGCCGTTCCGGCAATATTTGCACAACTGGCAGGCGGCTCGCAGGGCTGGGCCGCCCCAGACGAAGGCAAGGGGGGCCTGGGGGTGGAGGGTGTTTGGGGGTGGCAGGTATGGGATGAGGGGGTGCAGCTGGGGGAGCGGCTGCTTTTCGTCTCCAGACACATGGAGTTTATTAGGGACTGCGTGTTCTCAGCGTGGTGGGGATGGATGGGGCTCTCTGTCCCTTCATGCCTTGTGACGGAGGGGGGGCAGGATGTGGGCAGAGACCCCAAAGCATCCTCATGTGCTATGCTCGGGGCACTGTGCCCACTCCCAGTGACCCATCACAGGGCACCTAAAGACCACAGAGATCCCCTTCATGCCTATGGGAAGAAGGCAAGGGGCACATGGGCCATGGGGGGGCCCTGTTTGGCATGGGAATTAGCACGCTCCCAGAGCGATCGATGGTGGTCTCCACCCCTCCCCACCGGACATGCAGGCAAATATTTGTGCCCAGACTTCGCGGGACGGCGAGAAGGAATTTCATTCTTGCGCCCACCTGCGGCTCGACTGCCTGGCATTAACCCCTTCACCACCCCAGGGGATGGAGGAAGGTGCCCTCCTGGTGCCCCCATGCGGGCAGCAGGGTGGGCAAGGAGTGTGATGGGGCAGCATTTGGTGCAGATGGTTGGCCACGGCTCTGGGCATGCCCATGGCAGTGCTGATGCTCATTGTGGGCACAGCACAGTTTATCCTGGCAATCCCCTACTAGACAAACCCTGTGCAGGGCCTGTGGAATATGGGGAATGGGCAAACCACGCCAGCCCCCCACCCAGGTGCCCTATGCAGCACAACCACCTCCCTGGGCTGCTACTGGGAGTGGGATGGTGGGGCACAGAGAGCTCTGTTTGCCCACGGATGTTTATTGACAATTTGCAAATGTAAAACAGGACCGGAGGGGGTTGAGATCTTTGCCTGTAGTGGGGTGAGGGGAGCACAGGGCCTGCTCACAGCATCCTGCTGGCACCCCCAGCTCTGTCCCTTGTTCCCCAGCCTCTTTGTGCCCAGCTGGGCCCTGAGCAAACGGGGCTGTTTGCTCACTCCGGGATTAGCTGCTCTTTGTTCCTTTGACTTTCTCTTCCCTTTATGCCAGACCCTTTTATGGGGGCTTCAAAGGGGGCTCGGAACCCCCACCCCCACCTCCACCCCCCCACTGCCTGCAAAGCTCACGTTGGTTTCCCGTGTCCCACTGCTTTGCAGCAACATCCTGGGGGTGCCTACTAGGGACACCTGGGTGGCCCTTGGGGACAGCAGCTGTGTCACCTGCCCAGTCCTCCCCCGCCGCCTGGCACCTCCGGCTGCCCTTGGCACTTGTTGGAGTGGGTGTGAACGGCTGCTCGCCACAGCAGGATTCCAGGCACTTTGCACCCTGTAAGCAGAGGTGGGAAACACAGCACTGGGATCCGGCCAGCTGCACAGCTCTGTGCCCCCCCAGGACAGCACATCCTGGCAGTGCGATTCCCAGCAGGAAAACAGCAAGCTGCCTGCTGGCGTTGCTGGAAGGAACATTTTAGGGTGAAAGGCACCTTGCGGTGCTCTGGTGCCTGCTGGCATCCAGCAAGCATCCTGCCACGTACCAGCTGCCCCATTTCCCTGATGAGTTTTTTGCCTAATTATGAAGGCTATGGGGTACTGCAGAACTCCAGCCCGGCACTGTGAGGGGCTATATGCCCAGAGAGGGACGGGGACCAGGGCATAATGCTGGGGACCATGAGAAGGGATCAGGGTTGGGAGTGAGGACAGAGCTGTCCCAGGGTGCCAGCGGGGCGTGTTTGCAGCCCGTCACGTCCGCAGAGCCGGGACACGGCCATACAGGGAAGCCCAGCGGTGTTTGACCCCAGTGCTCACAGCTGCCGCCAAACCGTGCTGCACTGCGTCACCAGCGCTGTCCCCATAGTCAGAATGGGGCTGCCAGAATCCACCAGGATCCCCCACTACTTGCAAGGTGGGTTGATGGCTGTGGGGCCAGGGGAACATGGGATGGGCACAGTGGGGCCGAGGTGTTTACTCCGGTTGCTGTTACCTGGCCAGGGGCTGCCGGGAACTGCTGGCCACGGGGACAGGATGGGAGCGCGTGAGAGCATGCTGTGTGTAGTGTGCAGGAGGATGAGGTCTGAGAGCTCCTGAGTGGGTGTGGGTGTGAATGCAGGGGGCTGCAGAATGGTGGGGTGCATAGGGGCCACGTGAGCATGCAATCCACAGTGCGCATGCGTGGGGCTATGGTGCAAGTGGGGGTGTGGGTGTGCACGTGAGTACAGATGTGCACATGGGCATGTGTGCACTCCCGCCCCTGGGGGTCCCTCCAAGCTCTCTACCAAAAAAACCCGCTTCCTGACCCCCACACCCCATTACTCTCTCTCAGCTCAGAGCACCACCAACACCATCTATCCTGCCGTTCCAGGACCACCATTGTGCCACAGATAGGCACGGCCACCATTCCAAGCACCAATATCCCACTTGCAGATCACTCACGCCCAGGGCGAGGGGCAGGTGAGTGCCCGAGGACGCCCTTCCCGATCCCGGAGCCAAGGGAGGAAGCGGCTGGAGGCAGGAAGCCACCCCCAGGGCCCCCGGAGCACTTTTGCTCGAAGGTCAGCAGCAACACAACAGGAAATCACGCTGCCTCGGCACGGCGGCCGGGCCAGAGTGCTGCGCCGTGCTGTGCTGCCCGAGGGGTGTTCCCAGCCCCCAGTCCTCCATCCCGGCCGGTGGCTTGCGGGGGGGGGCCCGCGCCACAGCTGCCCTCCATGGAAGGGGGACGGGAGCCGGGGAGCAGCCGCCGGCCCCAGGGCAGAGGATGCAGGGCTGAAGCCCCCAGCAGAGCATGGAGCTGAACAGTGAGTGCGGGGTAAAGGGGACGGGCACGAGTGGGAAGGGGCATTGCTGTGGCAGTGGAAAACCAAATCACAGCCCCAGCCTTCTTGGCATGAGCACAGCCCTCACCCCACACATTAGAAGTGAACGCCACGGGTGCCTCTGGTTTGGTTGGAGCTGCCCACTGCCAGTTTGGCATCTCACTGTGTCCAGCCTTGGGCAGCAGGTTCTGCCCAATCCTTTTGGGGACAAGTGCAATGCCGAGGTGGTAGCAAGAAGGGACACAGGTGGATGGATAAAGGTCTCTCAGAGGTGGCAGTCACTAGCATGGAGCTCAGAAGCCAGCTGAGAGGCACCTGGGGCAGCAGCACACCCATGCTGCCGGCTGACACCAGGCACAGGCGAGCCCTTGGCTGCTGCAGTGGCGAGGAGCCGACGTGCACGACGGGAGGCTGCAGGCAGGGATTCCCCGAAATGCACGTGACAGTCAGAGCGGCTCCTGGCACGAACTCCCAAAAGGAGGGCCTGCACAGGGAACACAGCTCAGCTCCCTGCCTGCTTCCCGGGTTGGAGCTGAGCCTAAAACCCAGCACTGATGCTTGTCACTTTCCCCCAGCCCTTCTGCAATGCTGGGAAATCCCAGCTCTGCCCAGACAGAATAATGTCCCCAGGAACAGGAGGGAGACAAGATCCTTCTCAGCTCCCAAAACCTCCTCGTGCCCTACTACAAAGCAATCCCAGACACCACCAGACCAGGCAGAGCAGTTGCTGCTGTAGGCATTACCTGAGCTGGGGCTCTCTGAGGAGGGTGGCCAGGTGCCCACGGGTATCCCCTTCTTTCCCAGGACTACTGCTCTTCACATCTTTCCTCCTGCACGTCAAAGAGTGTCACGCCAGGCCAATGGGGCCAGTCTGTGACAAGAGACTGATCCAGAAGTACATCGGGGAGGCCAAAGACATGGAGAAGAGAGTGGTGAGGAAGCAATGCCTCCCAAAACCCAGTATCAGGCTGGGCTGGCAAGACAGAGCTGGAAACAACTCCTGGCATCTCACTACAGCAACTCTTCTCCCCCAACAGAGCGAGTGCCAGGCACTACCCGCACTCAGCTGCCCTGTGGTTCTGCCTTTGGTGGACTTCAACATGCGACAGTGGAAAAGCAAATCGGTGAGAGGGGCTGGGAGGATGGTGCTGGGGTGCCCATGGGACTTGCGAAGGAGCCCCTGGGTAAGCAGAGGGATACGGTCACCAAACAAGCTGAACAAGCAGCTTGTAGGAACAGTTGGTGGCACAGGAGCATTGTGTGGAGATGAGGTGGAGGATCCATCCATATCAAGGGTGGGCATGGGAACGATGGGCCTGCAGCCCTGTGCCAGTGGAGTCAGCACACACACTGCTTCACAGGACGAGATCAAGTGGCGTGAGATCCTGTGCAACCTGGTGCTGCTGGTGGGTGCTGTGACAGAGGCTCAGGGCCAGGTGAGCCAGGAATGCGGAGCAGGGCAGCTGAGCCAGCTCTATCGACATGCCAACTCCTTTCTCCTGCTCCTGCAGACCTTTGGCTGGGAGGTGAGGCCTCATCACGTGAGCAAGGACACCTTCAGGGCAGGTGTCAGCTGGGCATGATGGCATTTGTGACCCCCTCATCTCACTCTTGCCCCTCAGGAAGGGCCCTGTGAGCCAGGCTGCTCCCCGCGCTCCATTGAGCAGACTCAAGTCACTGAGATCTTCCTCACCTACCGACAGTTGGTGCAGGGCAAGCTGCGCTTCTTCTTTCACAACCTGGCTAAGGACTCATGTGACTGAGATTGGGGCAAGCAGGGACCTCCAGCCCATGGCCTGATGAAGCTGTACACAGGATTCAACACTGATAAGAGGTCAGAGCAATCCTATAGGACAGTGAGCTGTGCTCTGGGTGCCCAGGAAGGTGCCACAGGGAAAGGGTTGGCTCCTTTTCCACAAGCCTTTGGCTATCACGTGGCTCACAGAGGCCAAAAGCAGTGATGCCTGTGAGCACGAGGCACATGCCCTGCTCCTGTCAGACTGTGAATGCTTTAAAATTAAAGACCTATTTTTCTAAAGGATTGTTTGTGTCTTCCTATTCCCCCTGCTGTGGCACTGGCCTGAGGAGCATACACCAGCCTCTGGGAGAGGCAGCAGCTGGGGGATATGCTCCTGTTCTCCCCACAACATCCAGCTCCCTCCTGCGGTGGCTGCCATCTCTGCAGGGCAGCTGGGCTCTGCTAAGGGATATGAGATCATAATGTCCCCTGCTTTCTTGTATCCACCTGCCAATCTCACTGTGCTGAGTTCTGGGGTCATACAGCACCATTCAGGCTAGGCCAAGCCCCTCTGGGAGACACAGCCTGCAAGCCAGTGCCCCTGATGTGGTAGCTTTGCTGTCTGCTACCACAACACCCCCCCATGAGCATTCCATCTTCATCTACCAGCCTGCCTTCTGAGAAGCCAGCCTCATCTCTCAGCCACAACAGCCACATCTAGAAAACACATAGCAATTTAATTAAGGAGCCACACCTGTTTCAGACCAGCTCCTTAGAAAATGGTGCCCAGCCCTAGCACAGACAGGTGGATGTCCAAGTCCAGCTGCCCCTATCCGGAGCTGGGGCTAAGCCTGCCTTTGAAGTGCAGGAAGGTGAGAAGAGATCAGCAGACAGGGCCACATAGCACCCATGGTCTCCACTGAAAATGAGGGACCAGCCCCTACATGGAAGGGAAACAGTCAGAAAAGACCAGGATGACAAAGGGGGAACGCCCCCTCCTACACCACCACTGGAGGAGCTGGGCAGCAAAGGAGTGGGATTTGGGGTGACCGTGTCCTGTTTGCTCGCCAGCAGAATGTCTCTGGGGCAGGCAGCCCACTAGGTGCATCATCTCCTAGAAGGCCAGCTTCTTCATCAGCAGGTAAACTCTGGAGTCCACTTCAAACCCATGCAGATTGTTTGCGTCTCCCTGAAGGCGCATGAGCAGCCCCCCGTAGGACACGTAAGCAGAGCTAGGGCAGGAGGAGAGGAGCAGTGAGAGCAGGGAAACCCATTGGAGACCGAATCAAGACACTGCTGCCTCCCCACCACCCTCAGGCAATGCGTCCCCTTCTAGCAACAGACACTCACAGGCGTGTGGCTGCTTCTGTGGACGTCTCATCCCCCTCAATCCTGTACACTTTGCCATACATCACATACTCGAACTGGTCTGCCCTGAAATGAGATGAGGGGAGCTCAGAGAAGTGCCAGAACCGTCACCCCTCTCCTTCCCACAACCCCTAGCAGAGCATCCTCTGGAAGAAGGCACTTCACAGCCTTTCAGCATCCCAACTCCTCCACCACTGTGAGCCACAGTACCTGGAGGGCCTGTCATCTGTAGGGTTGTACTCCCCATCGTCCAATGTGCCATCCTCATACAGGGTGCTGGCAATGACCAAACGGAATTTGTCACCTGGGAGGAGATAGCAAAGGAGTGGTGAGAAGGCACAGACAGAGCACTGGCAGTCACAGTGGCAGCTGCAGCACATCTGCAGCAAGGAATTGCCCTAGTGAGTTTATTATAAACCTGGTTCCTGTGCATTCTCCAATAGGATAGCAGATATTGAGGGAGACGTACTCTTATCTCTCTCTACAGATATTTATCAGCACTGCAGAGCCACCAGATCAGCACAACCAACGTTTTCATGGCACACAGCAAGAGAACTGCATGGAGAGCCTTGGAAAATTGAGCTTGCCCTGGGCAGGTATGCAAGACCAGCCCCTTCCTCATCTTATGGAAAACTTATAAGTTAATGTATTTAGCCACTGAAACCCATTTCAAATGCTCTCCGTAAGGCCACGTTGCCATTAGCTAACATAGATTTGCTAAGGAGCATCTCTAGGGGATGAGCAGAACTGATTCTCAACAAACCCCACAGTGCAATGAGCCCGAATGGAGCCCAGCCCCAACAGCGCTGGCACCACGCACCCCTGCGACAAAGGACAGCCCAGTACCACGCACACTCCTCCAGGCCAGGCCTCCCTCCTCCCCAGCCTCCCTCCTCCCCATCCCGGCGGCGTACCGAGGTCCACGGGGTAGATCTGGATGTTGACGTCCAGGATGAGGTCCATCTTGAAGGACTCGCTCTCGCAGTGCAGGCGAGACACTGGGCAGAGCGGGGCGGTGGGCACAAAGGAAGGCCCAGCCGCACCCGTCCCCTCCCACGGGGGCACCGGGGCCGCTCGGAGGCCCGAGTGAGAGTTAAGGGCTCAGGGAAGAGGGGTTGGGAGCGGGGGGGTTCCAGCTCACCACGGTCGAACTTCTTGCCCTCGGGGTCGATATCTTTCACATCGAAGATGTCCTCGAAGAGTATCCCAGCCATGGCGGAACCGCCTCGCTCCCGCGCCTGCTCCCGCAACGGCGCACGGCGATGACGTATTTCCGCATCCGACACGCACCACGCTGCGGGCAGCGGGGCGGAAGTAGCTTCGTGGTGGGCGGGGCTAGGCCTACGCCTGCGCAGTGCGGCCGGCAGAGCAGCCCACGCGATCCTAGTGCCGTCAGCAGCGCCCCCTGCAGGCTGGGAGGGGGGGTGCACTGCGGTGCGGGGGAGCGGCAGGGGGCGCTGCGCGGCCGCGGATCGCACCGCGTGGGCCGGGCACGGCGGCGGGGAGCGCGGGCCGGCGGGCGGCCCCCAGCGGGACCCGGCTCTGAGCGGGGCGTGGGGGCGGCGCCCGGGGACGGAGCGCGAGGGCAGCCCCCCAGGAGCAGCCGGAGGCGGTGCGGCTCTGGCTGCCGGGACGGTGTGGGCAGCAGCGCACCGAGCACCGGGAGGCGCACAGCGTCACGCCTCTCCCCTCGCGTGTCACCGCCCGCACTGCCGTTTTCACACCCTCGCAGTGTCGCCTTCTCTCCGTGCCACCCGTCCCAGTGCCACCCAGCCCCCGGTGTCGGCCCCTCTCCATGGGTGACACGAACGGCTCGCTGCGGCCGCGCTGCGCTGCGTGGGTGGGCGGAGGGATGCGCAGGTACGGAGGGACACGGAAGGACAGAATGACACAAAGGACAGAGGGACGCGGGTTGCCGGCCCCGCACCGCTGGGGACGAGGACTCGAGGCTGGGGGTGGCCGCCGCTCGGTGCCCCTGCCCCGTGGCACCTGCCTGGTGCCCGCCGTCGCCTCCTTATCTGGAGCCAAACAAACCCTTCCGGCACCTGGTGCCGCTCTGTGCCCGCAGCACCAGCCCTCACCCCCCTCCCATGGGTCCCCGGGCTGTGGAGACCCCACAGACTGACTCCACGTGCTCTGCAGTCCCTGGTGCACTGGGATGGTGGGGGCAGATATATGGGGGGGCGTGGAGAACAGCTCTGTCCCTACCTTGGTGCACCAAAACACCCCAGCACACAGTGGGACTCGCTGGGGGTCCCTCCATGTGGGTTCTCCCCAGGCTGAGTCACAGTGCTCACAGTGCTGGGCTCTGTGTGTGGGGGGAGGAAGGGGGGTTAGCCGTGAGGCTGTTATCTTCCACTGATAAATTATACAACATGAGCGTGGCTTTGAACAGCGGCCAGGCCTCCATCCGGCGGGGTGACGTTGGGGGGCCAACACAGCCTCCAGTGATCTCCAGTGGGGGGGATGGTGATGGAGATGGGGACGGGGCTTTGGAGTGAGGGGCTGATGGGGATGGGGAGCGCATACTGTGCACCTCCTGAGGTGCTCAGTGGTCCTCAGAAGCAAAGCAGAGAGGCACAGTGGGTAGCAGGGCCACAGTGGCACCTTGGTGGTTGGTCAGCCCCAAATCCCTGCCTGCACCCTAAATCCCTGCCTGGCTCGGGGTGGGAGCGGTGCTTCAGAGCCGGCTGCGGCCCCTCTTATCTTTGGCACAAAGCAACCGCAGCACCGCAGTTATGGAGCAAATAAAAGTGGGGAGAGGCTGGGAGGGCCCGTTGGCATTGTGCATTGAGGTGGCACCGTCCCCATGCTGCGGTGCTATGGGGTGCAGTGGTGACATCCCCCCACTGAGCGGCCCCCCTAAGACTGGGGTTGGGCAGGAAGAGACCGAGCCGAAATTAAGCTGTTAATGAGTCTGTCTGTCACCAGGCTGCCAATTACCCATGTGGGTAAGGAGGAGATGATGGAGGTGGCATGGGGCAACCTCACAGCCCACCTGATCATCCCCTCATTAGCACTGCATCACCCCGAGTGAGGGACAAGGCCCTGGGCAGGGATTAGCCCCTTCCCTTCCCTGCTGAGGCCGTGATGGGCGATGAAGGAAGGAAAAGATGAGCTTTGGGGGAAAAATATGTGATAAGTGGCGGTCCTCTGCCCCTGGTGTGCAGGGTCTGGGGAAAGGCCCATGCCCCACAGCTCTGTCCCTGTCCCCGAATTCCTGTGGGTTGATGCTGACGTCTGTTTTTCCGTGACACCTCGGCCAGTGCTGCAGGGGGGACAGGGCCATCTCCCCACAGCTGTCATCGCGCTGGGCTGTGCCTGTGATGGGCCTTATCAGCGGGTGGCCCTGGGCTGCAGGCTGCGGCCCCCGATCCCTTGGTGGCAGGGGGCTGCGTGCCCTTTCCTGCCACCCTCTGTGCCCCACATGGGGTATTGGGGGTCTCTAGGGTGCTGGGTCCCATGAGGTCTCCTCTTCCCCCAGAACTCACTCCCCCAGTACCGATGCTGCTCCAATCCCCCCCCCACCAACCAAACCCAGCCGAGCTGGGTTGGGATGAGAGCTGAGGGATTTTGGAGGGCTCCAAATTAGCTTAATGGCTTTGGAAGACAAACAGATTAGAGAGCTGCAGCGGTCAGGGCAGGGATCAGCTAAATTGGAAGCAGAGGCAGCGCCCCAGTCCCTCCGGTCAGCCCCAGGCCACAATCCTGCAACACCCACCGGCCTGTCCCCATCACCCCCATCTCTCCCTGCAGTGCTGGGTCACAGCAGTCCCTTCCCTCTGCCCTGGGTTTTGGCCATGCATCAGCGGACTCCGGGCGTTGCTGCGCTTCCCCTTCCCTTTCCCTTCCTGTCCCTTTCCCGTTCCCTGTGCCCCTTTTCCCTGCCACGTCCCTTTGCACCACTCCTCCCATGCCATGCAGGCAACAGGGCCACCAGTGCCACCAGGTGAGGGGGCACAGGAGGTGCCGGGCATTAGAGGTGCAGGGGGGCATGGGGCTGCCACCAGGGCTCTGCTGGTTTTGGGGTGCCATCTCCCAGCATCACTGGTGAGCTGAGCGTGGCAGGTCTCAGCAGAGCAGCAGCAGGAGGAGGAGGAGGGGAGGAAGGCCGGGTGTGGGGGACAGCCTCCTGCTGCCGTGTCCCCCCCAGCCTCGTCCCCCTCCCAGCACCGCTTCCTGCGCGGGCGGCCCAGGGCTGGCGATGAAAGCCGCCCCAGCAGATGTTTCTGGCTTGTTTTCATCTCATTAACCGT